TTTCAAGCTCCAAATTAATACCTGTAACAAGCCAGAACAACAATTTGTGGACGACCGATTGTAGATTAATAGATGTAACAAGCCAGGAAAACTATCTACATAAGCATATTGAAGATTAATACATGTAACAAGCCAGGAAAACTATATTTCTTTCTAAGGTCAGAGACTAATAATTGAAACCATCCAGGACAACTATCTCAACGACCAACAAAAGCAAGTTTCAAATTAATACTTGAAACAAGATAGGACAACTATCTGTGAATGGCTGCTTGTAGATTAATGCCTGAAACCAGACATGAAAACTATCTACATGACCAGATGAAGCAATCTTACCGGGTTACTTCTCATGATCTCGAGATGCAATCTAACACGGACTCATCCTGAAGCAATCTTACACGGGTTTCTTCTCATGATCTCCAGATACAGTCTAACATTGACTCATCCTGAAGCAATCTTACACAGGTTCCTTCTGAACTTTCCAGATGCAGTCTAATACGGGCTTATCCTAAAGCAGCCCTACACAGGCTCCTTCTAATACATTTCCAAATAGTAGTTAATTTCATTTTCCCCAGCAAATTACTGTGAAGTCTGGATTTCAACTAGAAAACAACAAAATTTTCCAGAGATAATTCCTCAGTAGAGCCTTGGGCAATTGAAGTTCCTAGACTCTATTCCCCACAAAGTTTTCCTCAAGCAGGAGAACAACAGAAATCAATCTTCCCCAGTGGACTCCTTCTTAGACAGCAGGAACAGGAATCCCCATAAAGAGACCTCTTATGAAGTCAACATCTACTTTGGATGGCATATTGAAGCCCATATCTGACGACTCTCTGTCATCTTATCCAAATGGCATATGTAATCCCATTCCCGATATTATCAACCAACAGTGTTACTTCAGGCGAGTGCAAATTTCTGGGCACTCTAGTGTTCAATCATCTTCCACCTTCAGATCACGAAAGGCATACAAGCCAATCTAAATCTTCAGGTTTAAGAAGATTGAACAGGGGCAGCTGTTGTACCCCAAAATTTTCCCTCCTATTTTTTTCAAGACATACTCATTGAGGTCTTCAATTTCTCAAGGATGACCAAGAATTGACCAGACAAATTCTCTTCCTAAGCAATGAACCTCTAGTTAGGGTTTCACTTTCACAAAGATGTGTGTGCTCCAAAGGTATCAAATATTTTCCATTATCCTAATATGTATTCAAGTTTGTCCATGAAAAATTTCATGCCTTACACTACAAGTTTGCTCAGTCAATTGCTCAAATGTTTGAAAATCAACTATACTAGGTCAAAAGTCAATTGTGGCCTATATACAGTCAAACTTCAAGGTTTTTGGTCAACATCAACATTTTAAAGTGATATCCATCATTTTATCAAGGGTTGATCATGATTCCTCAAGAAATGCTCCTAAACTATCAAAAGTCAAGAACTGCTAAATTAGGGTTTCTATAGGAAAAGTCAACTAAACTTTGACCAGGCATAACTTTCACATACTTCAACCATTTTTCCCCAACCAAAGCTAATTTTTTGAACATAATACAATTCCCTTCAACTTCTCTTTTTTCCTCAAGTCCAATAAATTCACTATTTGAAAGATACAAGCTCATATGTTACAGGTCATTTTTAGAAAGTCAACAAAAGACACTTTTTGTCAAGACCATTTACATCAAGATAAAGTCTTAAAATGAAAAATTGATCAAAAGATGGATTAAATTAGACATCTTGGGCTTTCCAAAAAGTACAAGATCATCATCATGAGATAAAAAATGAGAAAGTTATGGGTTTCTCAAGTTGGGAAATTTGAGAAAATTCAAAGATGGTGCATTGAGCAAATTTGAACTTTTGGGTCAATGGCCTAACTTCTTGAACTTCAAACATTCTCATGACCTTATAGGGGACCTCTAATCTCATTTTTGCATGGCCTTACAATTTTTATCTATTTTGTTCATATTTATTTTGATTTATTTCAAATAAATATAAAATAAGTTGTACAAAATGTTTAGAGATGGGCCCTGGCCTTTGCGCTGGTGTTTTGACTTGTCTTGAAGCCCATATTTTTGTAGGTTCATGCAACCTACGAAAATGGAAAGAATATAACATAAATGGATGATTTTCAAATTCTTGATTTTGTTTTAAAGGCCATGTTAAAGACTTGATTCTTTCCATGTTTAAAAAGCTTCACATTCCTCTATATAAAGCAAACACAATGCAAGCCTAAGACACCGCTGCCTAAAAGAAGCCATACATAATTCACAAAAAATCTCCCAAAGTTGTGAAATCTAAAAAATGAATTTCCAGCCTTCCTCAGTCCAAACAAAGGAATCAAACACATTCTTGAGGCTTCCAGGAACTCAACCCAATCCTCGAGCAAGTGGTTCCACGTCCAGATCAAGCAGATCGTTATCCCTCTGTTGGTATTTTTGATAATCTCAAACTTTTTTATATGTAAAATAAATGATTTTCATATGCATATATATATATATATATATATATATATATATATATATATATATATATATATATATATATATATATATATATATATATATATATATATATATATATATATATATATATATATATATATATATATATATATATATATATATATATATATATATATATATATATATATATATATATATATATATATATATATATATATATATATATATATATATATATATATATATATATATATATATATATATATATATATATATATATATATATATATATATATATTCATATTGATGTTTGTGAATGCTTAGAGCCATTACATGCGAGGTTTGGCGTGAGGATGGAGTTTTGCCATTGTTAGGGCAAATATCCAGTCAAGGTTCGTTCTCAATGATGTAAGACGTTTCGGATCAAACTAGCATCATGGTTGAATTCGCAGCCTCAGATTTAGGGGGTAGATTCAATTTTTGGCATGGATGGTGGTTTGACCTTCTCGGAGCCAACATGTCCAGCCTCTTGTTTCTGATTCATTCATTCAAAATATTTGGACCCCACAGTGCGCGCGTGTTCTGCTGACTCGGCTATATGATTTGTTTTCACATTATATTGTTTTTTCTTATTTTATGTAACGAATAAACGGGATGGAACAGTGGCAAGCCAGTGTGTGATAGGGCATTCATGTGCAAGGGTAGGGGTTTGATCCCTGCCTCTTTCATTTTATATTTTTCTAACATTTTCTTGCAGGATCAAATGCATTGCATCCCAACATGCACATCCTGCGTTATCACTTCATCACCATCAGATTCGTGCAGCACCAGATTTGACGTTCCTGGTCACGTGTCCATATTGAAACCTCAAGAAACCAACCACATTGAATTACGCACTGGTAGTGGGCTTACTGGATTGGGCCTAAACAAGTTCAAGCGTATACCCCCCTTTTCACTTTAGCACCAGGCCCATTTAATTTCTTTTATTTACTTTATTTTAATTATTTTTTGCCTTATGTTTTAAAATTCATTTTTATTTAATTAAAAATCAGAAGAAAAAAAATAATAGAATTTAGGATTTTTCTAATTAATTTTAATTTTGTAAATTAATTAAGTTAATTATTTTGACCTTATTTTATTATTTAAAAATAATTAGAATTAGGTTATTTTAATTCAAATTTTTCTCAAACGAAAATGCCAAAAAGTATTAGGTTTGTTTAGATTTAATTTTGATTAATAATTTTCTTTTCCTTTTTTTATTTTAATTAATTGGGCTTTAATTTAATTTAATATCTTCCCAAATAAAATAAAAAGATTTTCTTATTTCACTTAGAACTTTTTTAGGGTTTTAGACGTTCCTTTCGACTCGCGCGCGTTATTATTTTCTATATTTTATTTTTCCAAATTATTGTAACTGCTCACAATTTGTAATAGCTTAATTTAGGATTTTTTTTCTTTATTGCTTTTTCCCCAAGTTTTGGACTTGTAATAATCCCCCTCCCTGAAGCTTTGTAATAGCGTAGGATTTACAATTCCCGCATTTTATCCTTGTACATATTAACTGTTAGATGTATGTTAATAGGATTGCATGATAAGACTAATAATCAAACGCTAGCAAACTTAACATAAAAGACAAAAATATTTGAATACAACACATTTGCACATATACACCTCTAAGGTATCCCCACTTTGGTTGCCTTTAGAAAAAAAAACACTCATGTCCCTCGAAAGTGGGGATGCTTTATCAAAAACCCTCGAATCAAAAGATCATAGTCCCTCGATGACCCTACGGTGTTGCCTTTCGGTAAATGATCTAGTCTCTTAAACAAAATTGCTAAAGCATCTTTATATGTTGCCTTTATAATTGTACGATGACCCACGAATGTCCCTCATACATCCAAACGACTATGGCTACCTACTCACTAATAGTAGCCTAGTCTTGTCTAAAAGAAAGGAGGAAAAAGAACAAACCTTTCGAGTAAAAGTAGATAGCTGCTAGATGCTTGCTCAAAAACAAACTTTCACACTTACACAAAAACAACTTTCAAAAACATTTTCAAATGCTTTATCAACACTCTTGAGGACTAATACAAGAGTTATCATAAAGCAAATCACCGCACTAAGGAATTTTCAAAATACTCTTCAAAAACACACAAAAATCACAAGGTATTTTTCAAATGAGCTAAGCATCTAAGAGCCCGTAGAAAAATACGGATGGAAAGGGTGCTAACACCTTCCCTTTCCATAATCTACCCCCCTTTCTCAAAAAACTCTCGAAAAGTCTTTTTATGTTATTTTCACCCTTTCCTTTGTTGGATAAAAGAATATTCGGTGGCGACTCTTGCTTACCGTAATATTTGCAAATAAAAACGTAATACCAGTATAACAGTCGGTTCTGCCACCGTATCGCAAGATGCAATCGAGATATTGATCCGAGACAGACACCTAAAGAAGTATACAAATAAAAATGGTGTCTGCGAGGAGCCTCAAGAAACCAAGAATGTTGATGAGGGGAAGGAGTCCCGTTACATTGGCATCATATCGGTCTCCATGTGCATCATGAGGCCAGAAGATTTCTACTTTCCCGACATGGAGGAAGTTCCACTATACTCTTCCTTGCATATCTCTGGCGCGAGATTGAACAAGCATGCGGTGGTCTCCATAAAGATAAGGTTCGATCAATTAATAAAATCCAACTTTGACATGGACGCCACCCTCGACAAGTTTAGAGGAGGCTCTAACCCCCTCGCATTTTACAGGGAAGAACTGCCCAGGGGAGATACCCATCGACCAAAAAGAAGCGGTCGTGATCAGACGAAGAGTCTACTTCTATGTTATAGTCGAAGTCAAATTACACAGGAGGGGATTTTACATTCCTTTCCTCAAATGCATCAACCCATCTCGCATCTTGCTCGAGATCCATGAGCGGATAAACGACCAACATCTGGGCGGAAGATCCCTCGCCAAGAAAGCTCTGCGGGCAGGGTATTACTGGACCACTATTGTACCCCAAATTTTTCCCTCTCATTTCTCAAGATATTTCCTACAAAGATCTTCAATGCCTCAAGTTTGCGCAAGTATCGACTAGGTCAAATAATCTCCTCAGCATTAATGCTTCAAATTAGGGTTTGAGTTTGTACAAAGGCAGATGGATTTCTAATATTTCAAATGACTTTCATGGATAATTATGGACCCTCAAGATTATTTTTTCCAAGTTTCAAGTCTTGGATCACAATTTTCCAAGAAAGTCATTCAAATTACCAAAAGGGCAAAATGAGCAAAATTAGGGTTTTTGATTGAAAATGACCGAACTTTGATTTTTGACCTAATACCTGGCTTATTGGTTGGAAGCATGATCTCAAGGATCTGAGCGCGTCATTTTGACCTAATTTCACATTTCGATTCATCTCCCGAGATTAGTAGATTGATATACAAAATTTGGTCAACTGATGGGAAAAGTCAAATGTACACTAAAAAGTCAAACTTTAACTTTTTGACAAAAGTTGAGTCCCAAAAATCATATTTCATCAAGAAATCCAAAATATCAAAATTTGATCATCAAAAATCAAGAAAGTAAAAAATCCAACTTTTACAAGACTTGGAAATATTTCTAAGTTAAGTTCATTGCTTCATGACATCTTGTCACTACAATTCAAAATAGTTCAAGATGTTACAAATAATTCAAGTTATTACAAAATGGAATTTTTGCAAGTTTACAAATCCTAAACTTTGTATTGTTTGGACTTTTTCCTTTGAATCAAAACCTTGCCACAATACTTTGTCTTTGATACAATTTGCATAAATTGCTCCATAAACAAAACTTGTGTCATACTGCAAACTATGTTGTCCAAGTTATTGATGAACAAAGTATGATATGCTACTTCTATACGTTGCGACAACACTCCAAAACCTTGCTCCATTGTTGTCCTACAAAAGAAAACTTGTGCTATGCTGCACCATAAAACTGTCATAAAAACCTGCATATGTTGTCCTATACAGTCCAAAATATGTCCAAAAAACCAGTCCAAAACTGCTCTATGCAGTCTGCTCCAACTTGCATCATAACAACCACAAAATTTCACCAAAATGGCAAAAGAAAATTGTGTCGAAAAAGTATCAAAGCAGTAGGCAAAAACAGTTTAAAATAACTTATTTTGTTTCCCTCCTAAACCTCAGTCAAGGATATACAAAAGGGACTGTTTCATAAGACATAGGGGGGATTTTTTGGAAAGGAAAAGAGAGAGGAGAAAAACGGAACTTTTGTTAAACTCTTTTCATCCATAAAACCCTTCCCACCTTCAACTTTGTTTTCACTCACAAAACAGAAAAATCCTCAAACCATTATCCTTACCCTCCAAACACAAAAACAGTACTGTACAACTTAACTATTTGGATTTGGTTCAGCAACCTTCAACATAAAGGGAGGTCTGGAAGCTTTCTGGAGTTTCACTAAGGTATACACAACATGTTGAAGGGTATTCAAACTCAAAACCTAAAGTTAAGTTTCAAGTTAAGTTATCTTAACCTTGCAGTTTCCATACATCATTTTTGGTTTATTTCTGAAGATAGGATGTAGCAATCACTACTCTTGAAGTTAATCATTTACTTGTTCATTTTTACCATTTATATGTTGAAAACTGACTGATACATGCAAAAGAATGGTGATAGAGGAAAAAAACTGCAGCATGAGTCGACACATACCCATATGGGTCGACTCATTCTTGTGACAAAATAGGGTATGAGTCGACACATGGCCTTATGCATCGACTCATACTGCTATCCAGGCCTCAAAATAGAAGAATGAAAGGTGCATGAGTCGACACAAAACACGTATGTGTCACACAAATAGGTGCATAAGTCGACACATCTCATTATGTGTCGACTCATACTGAGTTGATTTTGTTTTATAGGAACAAGTAAAAGTTATGTGTCAATGCATAATAGCATGTGTCGACACATGATAGTTCAAAATGCAGCTTTTCCATCTTTTTACACTGGTTTTTGCATTGTATATATATTCTTCAATACTGTCCACTTATTCGATATGATTGTAATAATTAGACACCTATTTCATCCTTATGTGCAAATTGTATCCCCATCCCCTTAATGATGTAATAGATTAGGATTTTAATTTCCGCAAGTTTACGGCTTTTCATATAATTGCTAGTAAGATAGGGTGTGTATGGTAAGATTAAAACAAACAAGTAGACAACCTAAAATTCAAAGACAAAATGCATACAATCAAATACACTATTCACACATGCACCTCTAGGGTAATCAAACTTGTTGCCTCGGAAAATAGTCATGTCCCTCGAATATGGGTGTTTTAGCAAAGACCCTCGATAAAAGATCATAGTCCCTCGATTTCCCTCAATGTCGCCTTCGGTAAACGATCTAGTCCCTAGCAAAAATTTCTAAAATGTCTCATAGGTTGCTTTCTATGACTATACAATTGACCCACGCTCGTCCCTTCACATCCAACGATGGGGCTTCTTACCAATCAATGGTAAGATAGAAACATCTAAAGGAGGAGTAAAATAACATAGACCTTTCGAGTAGGTAGGACGCTCGTAGTTGCTTCACAACTAAAAAACCATTTTCGCACCAACACTTTCAATTGAAACATTTTCAAAAGTCAAAACACTTTGTACGAATTCTTATAGAGACGAAAATCATTACAAAGACACTTTTCAAAATCACTTTCAAAAAAGATCTTCCACAACAAACATCTCTTTGGACTATTTTCAAAACCAACACTTTGTACGCACTCTTATAGAGACGAGAATCATTACAAAGACATTTTCAAAATACTTTCAAACCCACGCCACAAAGCACATTTTCAAATAAAGCAAGTGATCTAGCAAGAAACTAAGAGCCCGTAGATAACTGCGGGTGAAAAGGGTGTTAATACCTTCCATTTTCATAACCTACCCCCCGAACTCAAGAAAAAATCCCTAAAGGTATTTCCTGTTCTTTTCACCCTTTCCTTATTGGATAAAAGAAAATTCAATGGCAACTCTTGCTATCCGCAACAATTGCGATCAAACGCAAAATAACCAAGTCAGTTCTCCCACCGTATTACAGAGCTGGCGACTCTGTTGAGGATTTACTTAAAAGTGAGGTTACCTTAGGGCTAGATCACCTTTACTTGCTTTCCTTGTTTGACTTGCTTGATTTACATTATGGTTCCTTTTTTGGGCTTTGTTTTTTATCTTGCACCCGGATCTGGGGAACTTTTTAGGTAATTAGAAATAAATCATGGGAACGTTACATCATATACTGAGATGGACGAAGTGATAGCTACGTTAGCGTGATACTTTGGCTTCTACTAATGTTCCTTGAGTCAGTCAAGGATAATAATAGGCTTCCTTAGTGTCATTAAGCACTAACTGACCTTTAGAACCTTTAATTGACTCATCCTAAGCCATTGGGAAGTAGTGAGATAGTTGACTTTGGTTCTGACCAAAGAATGGTTGATACTTGATGATACGATCATTAAGATCAAACTTTCGGGATATTTCGGTCGCCAATAAAGAGGCTTGCACTGAAACAATTTCAGATGGAGAAAGATTAGTGATATTGAGATCCCCTAGAACCCGATTACTGTTACTAGGACAGGTTGAGCCAACTAAACTTCAAGAGGGTACTTACCTACAAACTCCATGTAAGCCTAAAACTAAGGACTTGTTTGCTTTGTGTGTATATGATTATTTGTACTTAACGACTTTTTTGCTTTTCATACTTGTACATAAACATTATGACATCATACAATAGCATTACCAATAACCATTTCAAGGATCTCAAAGGGCATGTGATGCAGGGTCATGTTAAACCAGACGTTTAACAAGGGGCAAGAGGATTCATTCTCCTATGATCAAATGCCGTCAAAGACCAAAGTACGATAACTCGTGTCAAGGGCTATGACCCACTTGACATGGTGAGCTTGATTCTCATGGAAGGACATCCATCGATACAAAGTTCTCCAGTCAAATCTATGACCAAAGTTCAACTTCTGACATTTTCTTGTGTTTACCTCGCGAGATCCTTGAAAACATGCATCCACATACCATGCATCATATCATGACAGGTTTCTACCACACAAGTTTCCTTATCTTCCTAATGTTTATTTCAGTAAGATGGATATGGAAAAAATAGTGAAGGATCTTCAAGCACAAAATGCTCAATTCTAATAAATGTTCTTGACTTTGGCTAAAGGGCAAGAGGACCTGAAGACTCTCCTTCTCAAAGACAAGAAGAAAAAGACAAAGAAATCATTGGGTGTCCTGAACTTGGGAAGGAGGTTCAGAGTAACAGCAGAGCGAGCTCTAGAATTTGCAACCCCGTTAACTGAGGGAGACAATCAGACAAAAGAAGGGAACCATAGTCTGGGGTCTAACAAAGAAGAGGCAGACTATGCTGAAGAACAATATCCTCATACAGACGACAAATAGAAACAACAGGAAGATCTTCTGAACACCATAGGAATTCAGAGGGTACCTGGTCTGGATTTTCAAGATTTGGGTTTGGTTTTTGGAGTGGTCATCCCACTGAAATTCAAGATTCCTGCTTTTGCCAAGTATGATGGAGTCTCTTGTCCTAAGATGCATCTGAGATCTTATGTCCGCAAGATTCAGCCATACACCACTGATCAGAAGCTATGGGTCCATTTCTT